CAGTTATTAAGATTCCCTTTAAATACGGCACATTTCAGCATCTTTTGTATTGTAATATCCTTACTCATTCAGGGAGATACTTGTAGCAATGGATCCAAGGTGTATGATTCAGGAACCACAACCGATAAAATATCAACTCATAAATGTTGTTTACATGGTTATCTAACATGCCCATTTAGATAGTTGGATCCATGGATGTCATTTTATTTGATTGAAATAAAAGGTCACTATTACCCAAACAATGTTGAGTACCTGTTTTAGCTGCCACTGCTCTGGTAAGATCGAAGTTAAAATGTTTACCTCTAGTGCAAGCTGGACACAACCAAACCATTACTGTAAACAAACGTTTGAATTTGGTTTACTACAAGTACAGCAAGATAAACATTAAACAAGCGAGAAAAAAACAGAACAATGGCCTTGTTTAACACAAGGTGGAACACCTTCATTTCAAAGAGTATTCTCTTCTAATGTGATAAAAAGGGAGATGATAAAATGTCATGTGTCACAAATCATTTTCTTACGTTTCTTCTAGATGTGAAAATATTATTTTATTAGACAAATTTTCTCAGTAAAGTTTTTACAAAAATAAAAAAAAGCTTCAAGTCGCAAACCATTACGTAACTAAGGAATTTCTAGAATATTAATTATAATTTATGATTTAACTCCCCTGTAATTTAAAAATTAACAAAATCAAATGAAACGGTTGACAGTGGTCATAAATTGAAATCTACTTGAATTTAAAGTTAATGTTAAAGTAGCAAACATGGTAAACACTATTTATAAACTTGTATCAAAATAAATTATTGCCTGAATGATATTTTAAAAAAACGTTTAATATTAGCATGCTTGTATTTATTGCCTGCGCCAGCAATTGGGGTGATGAGGGGAGGGGTCAATACATATATATATATATATATATATATATATATATATATATATATATATATATATATATATATATATATATATATATAATCTGAGACAACTTTCATTTTTGTAGTATATTGGGGGGAGGGTGGGTAGGTTATAAAACCCTCTTCACTTGTTACCACCGCCACCGATTGTGTCACAACATTCAGAAAAATAAAAAAAATTAGATTTCAAAAAGTGATAAAAAATGTGAACTAGCTTGTAGTCGTATGAATTGAAACCAACCTGCTAGAAAATTTCCTCTTTGGCCTATTTAACAAGATTGCTATGACACTGTTTACGAGATGGCCGGTATTATACGAGCATTAACTTTACAAGATTCTATTTTTTTCCCACGTTTTCTTTAACTTGCTTTCTCTGTTTGTCTTTCCAATCAAATCTTGCGATCGAAATTTCTGGCACTTCCCAGTTAGCTAGCGCGCTGAAATTTTCAGGGAAGCTTTCTTTTGGATGACCATTGAATATTCAATTGTTATTATTACTAAATTGATCAATGGAAACATTTTATTGAGCATTTTAGACCGCTATATAATCTATATATATAATCCTCCTCTGCTAGCCATTAGAAAAAAAACCAGCGACGCGTACCTCGCGCGCAGTGAAGCGAACGATCACATGTCGCCACAGGCTTAGGGGCAGAGAATTTAGCTTGAACCGAGTTTAAACTTACAGAAGGTAGGCCAGTTTGGGGGAGACGATATGGTCGAGTGGTTGGGCACACGATTGCTATCTTACTCGACACGGGTTCAAATCTATGTGTTCTAGTCAGTAACGTATTCAAACAACGTGTTTTTTACGAGTTGTCTTTTTACGAGTTGTCTTTTTACGAGTTGTCTTTTTACGAGTTGTCTTCGTTTACCCAAAAAAAGTGAAAAGATAAAATCGATAGCAAGATTTTAATGCAAACAAACAGACAAAGACTAAAAAGTAGAAAATAATAATCATTAAAAAAGTTTTAAAAAACCCACGTTTTCTGATTGAACTAAAAAGTAGAAAATAAATGCTATAGGCCCTACATCACAATAATGCAAGCGATCACTCTACTATAAGCAAGCAAAAACGTGGGGCGCCGTGATTTTCTTACAGTTTCTAATACTGTTGACTCTCTACAAGCTCCCTAATAAAAGTCAATAGTATTATCTAATCAATAGTAATATAACTTTTACTTCGACGCCCCACGTTTTTGATCGCTTATAGTAGAGTGATCGCTTGCATTATTGTGATGTAGGGCCTATAGCATTTATTTTCTACTTTTTAGTTCAATCAGAAAACGTGGGTTTTTTAAAACTTTTTTAATGATTATTATTAGTAAATTCATGTTTTCTCACTACTCTTATATTAAGTAGAAAATATGCCTACAAAATCAGGCAGCGTTTAGATAATGAGATTATCAAATCTTCTCAACATAGATTTGAATTAGCCTTAGGAATTTTTTGTCGTGTTTTAGCAAGCTGACGTATTAAGCTTGAAAAACTCAACAAGTTTTATAATCTAAGGTAAATTTGTTCAGCACTCGACACGCGATGAAAAACTAACCCAAAATGTTGCAGCTCCCTTGAGATAAGGAGATAAACTTAAGAACAACCACACAAACACGCATTGATGCCAGATTTTTATGCGACGCACGACCATCCGTGCCAGATATCTGAGTTTAAAAAATTTATATTAAAATATACAGAACGTGCTGAGTCTTTAAATTTCACGTATACGGCAGTGAGTGATCCTGTGTTACACGGCAGTGAGTGATCCTGTGTTACACGGCAGTGAGTGATCCTGTGTTACACGGCAGTGAGTGATCCTGTGTTACACGGCAGTGAGTGATCCTGTGTTACATGGCAGTGAGTGATCCTGTGTTACACGGCAGAGAGTGATCCTGTGTTACACGGCAGTGAGTGATCCTGTGTTACATGGCAGTGAGTGATCCTGTGTTACACGGCAGTGAGTGATCCTGTGTTACATGGCAGTGAGTGATCCTGTGTCATATGGTCGAGTCTAATAGCGCGTGAGTTTTGTTTTCTTTCTGGGGTGAGCGAAAAGTTTTATTATTTCCGGTATATATATATATATATATATATATATATATATATATATATATATATATATATATATATATATATATATATATATATATATATATATATACATATATATACATATACATATATATGTATATATTTATGAATATGTGTGTACTTTTTATATTTGTATATATATATATACAGATATATATATATATATATATATATATATATATATATATATATATATTTTATATATATATTTTATATATATATTTTATATATATATATATATATATATATATATATATATATATATATATATATATATATATATATATATATATATATAGTACATTATATATATCTATGTAGAAATGTACATACATATTATATAATATTTATCTATAAATATATATATATACATGTGTGTATATGCATATGTGTGTTTAGATATATATGGGTGTGTAACCGTCTGCGTGTATGTGTTTATATTTGTAAGTAGATGTTGGCACTACATTTATTTACAAACTACCGTGGTGGAGAACGTACACAGCAGCACATCTAGTCAGTCCCGACAGTTTCTATACTTATGTTAGGAGTGTACGAAGGTAATTATTGGCTTAACACGGTCACATGACTGGCCAGATTTGCAACACATTTAATTTGTTAGCTGGACTAATCAATATACAGTAGTGGTGGTGGTGGGTCCATGTGCTAATTACATCTCAATTGATTAATTAAAGTTAACATCGAAAACTTTTGTTTGCGGCCCCACCTTACATTGTCGTAATTCTAAAATTTAAATTACCAAGACTGCTCAAGGCCGAATCTACCAAACTAAATTTTAACACGACGACTCTATTTTGCTTTGAAATAATCTACGTCTTTATTGCGCAATAAACAAAGATTTACTTGCTTTATACAACTGACTACGAGACACGCACAATAAACTGTACAACGCCACAGCTAGATAGACGCAATGTTTACAGCCAGCAATGAAACATGTGCATGTAAGACACAATCCCGGATGTTTTTTCCGACCTTCACAGACCCACCTTAGTACGGAAATGGTGACACAAGTCCGGACTGACCCAGATGTATCAAAACGAGGGTCGGGCAAGGCGCCCATATCATCAGGATCCACACTAGAGAGATCACTGTGTCACAAGTTTAGTTTGTTTACATTTTAATAAGAATTTTTTCATAGTCACCAATACAGTAACAGTACTTTCAAAACTAGTAGTCAAAACAAACTATTTGTCTAAGCTAAATACAGTTTGAAAAACAGCACTAATGTATGTTAAATCTCAAGAAAGTACTTCTACATCTTTATAATCCGCTCAAATGTGTTAAATCTCTGTAACGTTATGGTAGTCCTACCCCTTTCATGTGTAAAAATGTATTTGTTTGAAGAAAAGTACAAAATAATTTCATTGCGTTGAATTACTATGTAGAAAATTTAGTTATCATTGCAAGGGTCACACTCATATTAATACGCTTTAAAGCGTATTAATATTTTGGTAATATTACAGTAGGCCTACTTCACAACTAAAATATTCAATCTGGAGAAATGTTAAAGAATTTTGACCGAATTTGTTTGGGGTAATCCCGAACTGTACTGACGTCATCAGGAATAATTTCATCCTTACGTTTTTGTCATAGCTTGGAGAGATGATATAAATAACCATAATGAGGGCAGTGGAACAGGGCGGCCATTATGTTACACAACCACATGTTATACTGTGGTATAAAATTTTATATTACTGTCCCACATGTATATAAAGCAGTATTTAACCTCCTGCGGCAGATGATACAGCACTCTTATAAAGACTCTTATAGGCTAGTCAGACAAACTAGGCCGTTATTTCAAATCTACATAATTAATCAATAGTCTGGGTGGTAACCGTTAATAATTAAATGCTTAACACACATGAATTGTTAATAGTGGATGAATTGTAGACCTGATATAAATTTTTAACTGTAGAAGTGTTAATGAAAGCAGACGTGTATTTTAAAACAAAACAAAACAGAGACATTTACATAGAATAGTGAAATCGTGCGAGTTGAGTTTGAAATTTCTAGCCGACCCGAGGGAAAGTTGAGAAGCAATTGGTTGCGTGAAGCCCTCCCCACCAGCTGTAGGATCAACACGGCACTAACGGCAGTTGGCCGTTAAAAGTCAGTCGAGCGGAGACAAAAATACCTTCTGTTTGATCGTGGTAAATAAGCACGGGACTCAGGCAGTAAGTACACTGTGCCCAGTAGAGC